ACCAACTGTCTTCCAAAGTGGCTTTATTCTGCATTCCCACCAGCAACAAATAAAAGTTCCTGTTCTACATCCTCACCAGCATTTGATGTTGTCAGTGTTTTGGAATGCACGCATTCTAATAAAATATGACGTATTTCATTGTTTTAATTTGCAATTCCCTAATGCCATGTGTTGTGGAGCATCTTTTCTTATGCCACCCCATCACGTTTGCCGATTCTGTTCCTTAAAAGAAATTCACCAGCTCTAGCCCACGCTGAAGGGCTGGAAATCACCCAAGGGCATGCACAGCAGGAGAGGGGGCATTGGGGACCATCTCAGAGGCTGCCCAATATAACGCAATTCAGAAAAGAATGGAGGAGAGGAATTGGAACAAACATAGGCAGTGCTTTTGAGGAGTTTTGCTACGAAGAGAAACAAGGAAATGAGAGGTTAATTGCAGAAAGATGTGGACTTAAAGTATGTTCATATTTCATTATTTTATAACAAACCAGATCATTCTTATCAATAAAAGTAACATATTTAATATATTGAATATGTAACTAAATAGAATTCTATTTTACACCTTTATTCATATATTTGTTAGCAGCATTGTGACCTATAGTGCTCCAGTTTGTAAGAAAACAAACCTGAGGGGGGATTTTAAAAAATAAATCTGTTTGTACCCATGTGGAGGTCAGAAACAAGGACACCTGTATTCCTTTGCTTCCAGGAGACTAACTAGCATACCCTCTAATTACTGATCAGCCACACCGTTTATTTAGGCAGATAAAACCAATAGGTCTCAGTGAGGGCAGACATTCTCTCTTGGCTTGAAAACAAGCGTGCAGCTGCTTGGAAAAGGCAGGCTGCTGGGCTGAGACCTGCATGTGGCAAACAGCCCAGAGACACCAATTAAAATGTTACCCGACTGGAGCGATCATTCAAATAATAAGTAATGTCTGTTGTTGCTTTATCTTCTGACTCTACAACAACATAATAAAATGCAGAGACAAGAGTAAATGAACAGGCCCATTAATTGGCAAAAGCAAATGCCCTAGATCGGTCTGATGTCCGTCCATAGAGAACAAGGGAACCTTCGTATCTCCTGGAAATAGAGACCTGGCAATGGCAGGTTTTGGGGGGGGGGGGGCGTAAATAATGTGTTTTCTTCCCCTTCCATGCTCAGAAACAACTCAGACATACAACACAGAGTGGAAATTAAAGTGTTAGCTTTCCCACTGATAAGATCGAGTCTTTAGAACTGGGTCTGTTCTATCGCCCTTCTCAGTCCAGACCTTGAGTCACCATCTCCTTATACTGATCCTGGGCACAGAGCGAAGAAAAAGAACATGAATCCTCACAGCTGACATCCTTCTAATGGATTTGCTGTTCTTTGAGAAAGATGAGTCATAGGATGTCACCTGCCATAACATGTGGGGGCCAAAAATTTAGAGTGAGCAAAATGCAGGATCATGTTACTGCAGGGTTAATGAGAAATACTCACTTGGTTTGGTCTACCAAAAAAGCACAAAGGTAAAGGGAATGGCATAAATTTCCAACTGACTGTATAATGAATAAAAAAAAAATTCTCAGTGGCTTCCAGGTGGTCAGTTCTTATCCTGCCCCCCACCCCCATCAGAGAAGGTCAGAATCTTAGTCTGTTTCATTGGGAATGAGAGACAAGCAGGAGATGGAAGCCAATGAGCCAATCCCAGTTTGCATGCTCTCAAAATTCATGTTAGCACAGGATTTCATTGGAATTCCTTCCTCTTTTGGAAGGGAATGAGGAAAGTGTGGGCAGAGGCTAGGGTCATTATCCCACAGAAGTTCTTCCACAGAGAAACAGGGCCAAGTGGGTTGGGGGGGGGGGCAGGGAGGCTCCCCTCTAGCAGCAGAGAAATGCCTAACACCTCCTGATGCCCCCAGATGCCTGCTCTAGAAAGGCAGGCCAAATACACACCAAGAGAAGAAATCCAACAGGTTTTATCAAGCACTAACTGCACCAAGCCCTAGGCCAAGTACTGGGAAAGCAGGGATAAATTCACACTCAAGGTGACCCAGGAGAACTCAGCTGGGTAAGACCCCACCACTACTACCATGTGAGCCTGTAGGAGTTTTATAGTGTTACTAAACTACTTTGGGGGACAAATGGTAAATCTCTTTCCCTGGCGTCATTTCCCACTTATCCAGGCACTGTGCTGAATTCTGGGGATCCAGTGGACAAGAGTCCTCATGGAACTTATATTCCATCACCATGCCAACTGTATTATGGGTGAACAGTCTGAGGCCAGCTCTACCCCACCAGAGAAAATCCTGGATGATTTATAAAGTGCTTGTACTCTATGATTCTTCTCTAACTCTCTTGGCCTCTTCAGCTTTTCCCTCTCCTATATTCCATATGCTGTCACCTCCTATTGGTAATGCTAGACTCAGCATCGGTACCCCCTCCTCCAGGAAGCCTTCACTGACTCCTTAGCCGGACTTGCCCGTTTTGTGCTGTGCCCTTGGCACACTATGTGGGCTTCTGTCAGGGGATGAACCTCATTTTACACTCCTTGAGGGCAGGGGCAGTTTCTCCTTGAACTTCACACCCAGCACCCATTACAATACAATGCCTGGCACAGAGTCAGCACTGATAAATATCTGCTGCATGAAACAGTTCCTCCAACCAAAATGATCGCAAGTGCTCCAGCTTCTAGGAAACCCCAAATCTCAAGATTCCAAGGACAGGTTAAAGATAAAACTAAGAGCAAGGCTGGGGAGGGTTTGTTCTGTCCCTCAGGGCTTCTGTGACTGTAGGCCACCCTAAGGGAGGGCATGGGCTATCTGGGGCGCGGCGGATTCCTAACATTATTGGAATATCAGGAGCTTCGTCAAACCTGCAGCGAGGTAAGTGGACACCACACCCAGGGAGGTGTTTGGGGTGGATTTTCCGGAGTCCGCAGGCTGGGGGACCTGGGCTGTCGCCCGCCACGCTTTCCCTCGGCCGCCGGCAGGGGGCACGCGAGGGCCTCCGGGCGCCGTGGGCGGGGCGGGACTGGGTGGGTGCTGGGTGGGGGCGGATGCTGGGCCCGGAGCCACACTTGGGCAACTTTTTGGTTGGCTGCCTCCGAGTGCTGACAGTCCAGGCCCGTTTTAAACTTGGTCTCTCCTCCGCGCCCTCCCCTTTCGGCAGCGGCGCGCGACTCGGTAAGTGGCTTCCGACAGGCTCGACGCCGGAGCCGACCACGTGGCCTGAGGGTCTCCGGTGACACTAGGATGCCCCTTGCTGTCCCGATCCCTGTCCAGTCCGACCCTGCACCAAGACCGGGGGTCAGGCTCAGTTTGGCGACCCCTCGGGTGCGGCCCTTCCAGCCCCGGGGAAGGAGCCCCTCTTGGGTGGGGACACCCTCGTGGCGCCTCAGGTCCCTGTTCCCCAGTGGCCGGGCGCCAGGCACCCCTCGTGCCTGTGGCCCCGACGCTCAGAGGATCGGACCTCAGGGAGCTTCAAGCTCCTTTCCAAGGAAAAGGTAACATTTCGAGGACCAGACCGACCCGGGGCGGAGGCGCAGAGCCCGGGACGGTGCGGGTTGGGGGCGCACTCGCCCCCCCACCCCCACTCCGGGTTCTGCCGCCGGGACCGAGCAGTTTAGGAAGTGGGTGAGATCACGGATCTGAAACGCTGTTTCGGTGCGGAGCCGTGTAATTACGGTGTCAGCAACCAGCGGAGGTCATTTCGCCCACACAGCCACCCTCCCGCCGCAAATGCCTTTCAGTTGTCACTTCGCACGGTGGTTGGGCTTTTTTTTTTTTTAAAGGTGTGGGGGTGAGTCTGGCGGGAGCGGAAAGCATTTTCAGGGTGGGAGGCTGGTCTCGGGAGGCACTCTGAACCACTGGGTCCACCACGACAAACATTGAGGCCGCCCGGGGAGAGTTCGTCCCAAGGAAGCACTGCGTTGGGGAGGCGCTCTTCAGCTCGGTGGGCATGCCAGGGGGTCGTGGCTGGTGCATATTGCCGTGGCAAGGGTTATTCTCCAAATTTAAGGTCCGAATTTAGAGTTCAGTGAGTGAAGGAATCTCTGGAGCTCTCACAGGTACCACTTAGGAGTCGTCTTTGAAACGCGAGGCTTCTGGGGTTTACATCTTGGCCTGGTTTGTGAAAGATCCTTTTACTGATGAGGCAGCCAAACAGGATGTCAGTTTTCATCACGCTTTTTAAAAGGAAAAGAGTGTGTTGCAGGCTGTGTTCTCAGCACCGCCTTCCAGACACATGTAGGCCCAAAGCACATGAACAGTGTTGCCCCATACCGCAGTCTCCGGTGGATACCCCACCACACAGGGAAACGAGATGGCCAGGCTTTGGTTCACAGTCGCCGTGGGTGTTGAGCCAAACTGTTTCAACGGCGCCATCTGAGGAAGACACGTACTGAGAGCCTGGCAGCGTTTCAAACAGGCGGTGGCTGGGCCCGTGTCTGTTGAAGGATGGTGGAAGCTGAGCAAGTGAGGAAGCCTGTTCTCAACTCCTTGGGTTCTGCCTCTGCCTTTGGTTTTTAAATCTGTTAAAACTTTGTTTTTCCTAGAAAGATAACCGTTGCCAGTAATGTTTACTTTTCTAAAATGGATATTATTCCATGCTAATGTAACAGAGATAACGTTGGGAAATGGTGGCTGCTGACATTCTGTTAAATGGGTTCCCAGAGTAGAGGGATTTATTTCACCACTCATTTTACTCCTGGCTGGAAATTACAGGAGATTCCCAAGTGTCAGGAAATTTGGAGAATGTAGCTTTTTTTTTTTTTTTTTTTTTTTAAATAGGAATTCTATTCAACAGTAGCTTTTTATTCCATCAAGGGCAGCTAGTAGATAGTCACAGTAAAAGACATTCTTTATCAAAACAAAACATAAAAAAGTTAGTGCACAGTATTCTTAACATTGTTCTTCTCACTTTTCTACCAGGCTCAGTCCAGCTTCAAGATGCTGACAAACCAGGTAAATGGAGAGAATTTGGATCAAGTTATTATTAAATACTTGAATAGAATTCTTGGCCAAGGATGAGAACCCTAATCTGATTGGATATACTCCTGCTCTGATGGGTTAAAGGATTTACCTGAGGCCAACTAGATAGGAATTTATTTATTTGTTTATTTATTTATTTATTTTTTAATCCTCACCCGAGGATATTTTTTCCATTTTTTTGTACAGATAGAGTAGGAGGGAGAGAGAGAGAGAAACATCAACGTGAAGGGACACATCGAGTGGCTGCCACCCGCACGACCAACCAGGGCCGGGGACAAACTGCAACCGAAGTACTTGCCCTTAGCGGGAACCGAACCCGGGTCTCTCCGGACCGCAGGCCGACGCTCTAACCGCTGAGCCAAACTGGCCAGGGCAGATAGGAATTTATTAAATGCAGTCTTATCCCTCCCCACTTTGTACAGATAGAGTGGGAGGGAGAGAGAGGAAGAGAGAGAGAGGGAAACATCGATGTGAAAGGGACACATCGAGTGGCTGCCACCCGCACAACCAACCAGGGCCGGGGACAAACTGCAACCGAGGTACATGCCCTTAGCGGGAACCGAACCCGGGTCTCTACAGACCGCAGGCGGACGCTCCAACCGCTGAGCCAAACCGGCCAGGGCCCCACTTTGAAAAGGATATTTAAGTGATGGACATTTAATCTTTCAAACGTTTTTCCAGTGGTGACCATTTTGAGTTTGAAAGGAGGCTGAGATGGATTGTTAGCATTAGTAACATAGGATTTTGAGTTTTAAAAATTGGTTTTTATGTCAGAACATGACTATGTCTGAGTTGATGTGAAATGGTGGGGAATTCTATTGTCTGCACAGTTTTGTGAACTATTTTCTTAATGACAGTGTCTTGCTTAGTACTTGCTAATCTAATCACCTGCTGTGGAACTTCTTTTGCAGGGCCAGTACTGGAAAGACAAGCTTGTCAAGTAGATAAGGTGTATCTGAACATGTGATGGTTGATATATGCAAATAGAGCCTTTTATTTCTTTGTCCCTTTCACGGTAAGAGCGGGGGCGTGTTTTGAGGTGCCAAGTATCCGTGAGAATGTACATCTGCCCCACAGAGAATTTCCATAGAATTCAATTCCATTATTTAGAGTTTTTCTACCAACCAGCCCCAGCCTGCAGTTTGACATAGTAATAAGACTAGCTATTCTATACCTGTTTTAAGACAATTTTGTCAACTGCTTTAATTACAAGGTTTTTTGGTTTTTTTTTAAAATCTCATTCTTTTGACTATGGTAAAGATTATTTGTTCCAAAGTTATCTTTTTAAAATCTTGGTTTTATATGCTTAGGATTTGTCTGTAATACTGTATGTGAAGCCCTCTCAATGATTAAATTTTACCTCTTTGACCGAAAACAGATCGATAGGTTCCTAGGGGTGGGGAGGGGTTGGTTGCAGAAGAGTATCCTGAGGAGTTCTGAGGAACTGTTTTGACATCTTGATTATGGTGGTTATTGTGTAACGTCTGCTTTAATAAACATGACTTAAAAACTTACCCTTTCTGGCATCTTAATGACATTTCCAATGAAGTCTGTGGGAAGATGGTCCTGAGTCAGCACTTGAATGATTTCCTGAGATGTTTTAAAAGTGGCAAAAACATCAAAATCACTTTGGAGTATAAGTTGCATAAGTGACTCATGTACACAGTAAATACCTGAGAAACAGGACCAAGAGGTATATGTTAGCTCAGTTATCAAGGATATACAATTTCTTTTTATGGATGTTTCGGGCAACATTTCTTTATCTTAACAACTGCATTTTAAATCTCGCCTGTGCTGTGGCGCTTCTCCCTCAATCTCTCTCTTTTTTTTTTTTCTTTAATCCTCTCCTGAGGATATTTTTATATTTATCTTCAAACAGAGTGGGAGGGAGGGAGAGAGAAACATCGATTGGTTGCCACCTGCATGACCCCAACTGGGGCCGCGGATGAACAGCAACCAAGGTATATTCCCTCGACTGGAATCAAACCCAGGACTCTTTGGTCCAGCGGCCAACACTCTAACTGCTAAGCCAAACCAGCCAGGGCTTCCCTCAATCTCTTGACAATCCGTTCTAGTGGCCACATGGTAGTAGAAAATGGAGTGTAAAAATTATTTTACCTGTATGTGCCCTGTAACTTTTGGGGCATATTTTGGGTTCCTTGTAGCCTTGCTTTCTACATTGGCAATTTCCTCTTCCAAGAAAACTGAATTACCTTGGTCAATACTGGCTAGCCAGGGAATTAGGGCAATGAAGTGAGGTGCTAAGTAATTGGGCTTGAGTTGATCTCAAAGCTTAATTCATAAGCCACATGGTTTACTTCTGGAAGAATCAGTCTGAACTCTCCTTTTCTCTTGGGATATTTAAAGATGCTTTTGAAAGGAGGGACGGGCCAAGCATTGTTTGAGAGCCATAGCTGTTGGCTGTAGGTACTAGGTCTGACCTGCAGAGCCTGTTGAGCCTTGTCCCATAACTAGGGGTGCTTCCAACAGCTGTATTGTGCCCTCTTACTTTAGGAGCAAGCAATGCCCTTCAGATGCCCTCTTGTGGTTCCAAGTTTGGTACATTCCCTGCACTATTTTCCCCCCAAATCTCCTTCCATGTACCATGGCAAAAGCTTGTCCTGTACCTTGGTTAAGTAAAATAAATCTAGCATCACCCAAGAGATTGGGGTGAGAAGCGGAGCCAGCCCCACATGGTTCTGCAGAGAGCTTGCCCTTCTCAGCACAGCGCGTGCCTGCATGTTGAGCGGAGCTAAAGCCAGAGTGGAAAGATGCCAAGTGATGACTATTAAAACAGCCAGGGCATTCTTTTGTGCTCAAGTACCCTGAGGGGACGTGAAGCAAATTGACTTGAATGAAATGTTTTCAAAGAGGACTTATTAACTCCAAGGGAGAAGCTTGGGCATGAAGAGAATCTTTAATTATGACTATGAAAGAATGTGATTGAAGTACAGTTTGACGCTAATGGTTATGATTTCACTGAAAATGTGAAATCTTATTTAAGAACTCCAGTCACTAACCTCCCCAGATGCGACTTGCCCAGTATCAGTTACACTGTTGCTATGTTAGTTCAGGTACTGAGTCAATGTGACTTCAAGAATGGGCATGCGTTTGACAGGCACTCAGCAGTGTTCCCAAGCCCTTGAGTATAAGGAGTTTTTGTTTCTTAAAAGCAAGCAAATCTTTGTAGCTCAAGTGACTATTCCAAACCCACAGTATGTATTTTTTGAGGTTCCTAAAACCTTAAATGTTTACATAATTTGGCAAATATTAACTGTTTCCCTGTGTGCTAAGTTTTGTGGTAGCTGATTCCCAACAACAGAGTTGACACGATGTGACTTACCCATGTCACTGTGTACGAGGAAGCTGGCTAGAATGTGCGTCAGTCGACTTCTGTTATAAGGAATAATTTCACTTAGTATCTGAGGCAATAGCTGAAAGATTCCATTGCTAGGACAAACTGTGAAGAGACTGTTATATCTACTTATTCAACACCAATATATTTCCACAATAACTTGAGTTGGCTTACAAACTAATAGCAAACAATGCACTAATTGGAAGAGGGAATAAGAGCTCAGCAAGAAGAGAGCAGGATTATAAAATAAGCCATTTGACCTCATGCTTTTGGCTTCTGCCAATTTAGCTCTGAGTCTCCCAGGAGCCAGAGAAAAGAGCCAGTTGGCAAATTTGCCAGTTGGCACTTGAAGTTTTAAATGGAGTAGGAGGAAGGGACAGGGCCATCTGCATTTTAGGCTCTTTAGATCCCAAGTGAGAAGATGCCCCCTTCCCCACCCCCCATGATCTCAAGTACCTTGAAGGAAGAAGTAGAACAGAGAAGGTTGTCCAGATAACAACACAGGATCTAGAGATAGTGGAGACATGCACTTGACCCTAGGAGGTCTGTTGGTCAGTGAGGCCTGTCAGAGGCTACCTATTTAGCTGATTGTCAAGCCAAAGTCAGGGATAAATAACACCTCTTGAGTAAAAAGCCATGTTGAGATTATGTGAACAGACAAACACCCAGAGATGTGCTTGAAAGGCTTATTTTTATTCTGTACTCATAAAGGTTGCCTTTCCAAAATTTACTTTATATTCATAAACTGAAAAGATCCGACTCCGGTATTGTTTTTAAGGGAGTTACCCCAATCTGGAACTATGCAACCATGACTGGAAGGCCCCTAGTGGAATTTATCTGTATTGCAAGGGGCCAGTTGTCTTACAGTACCTTCCACCATTGCCAATTGCATTTCTAGAAGAACAGCTCGTGGTCAATCTGTTTCAGAGATAAAGAGATAAAATCCAGTCAAATGAGTGTGATGTATGTCACCATGAACTGTTCTTGGGAACATAGCAGAATGATGTCCTTGATGGAACGGAGCCTAATACCATTGATTTTCCAGTTGAACAAATGCCCTGGCATGTTAGCCCCCACTCCCTAGGGCAGAATAGAGCCCATTGTATCATTTATAGACCTCCTGGAGTACAGAAATGTGTGGAACTGTGGGAATCATCCAGAGTCCAAGCTGCACTCCAGTACAGGCTGCTGGCCACACATAGGGGCTGAACTCCTGAAATGTGGCCATTGTGAACTGACATGTGCTAAGGCATTGAAAACCATGGGCTTTGGAAGAATTAATGTTAAAAAAGAGAGTGAAACATCTCACTGTTATGTTGATTACAAGATAAATGATAATATTTTAGGTGTGTTGGGTTAAAATGAACTATATTATTAAAATTACATAAATGTGATTTGCATTATGTTTCTGTTGAGCAGTGCTGGTTTAAAACATGAATCAAAATATGGGAACATGCAGAGAGTGCTTCCACAATCAAGCAGAGAGAAGGATGTTGCTTTTCTACTGTACAGGACCTGGAGGAAAAGCAAAACTCAAATTACCACTTAAAATGCAGGATTTAGAAGTAGCAGCTAGTTTTCAAGGGCAGAAGGTGCAGGGGTAGCCAGTGCTACTTAGAAGATGTGGCATAAATTCTACACCTAAGTTGCTAGCACTTCTGGGGTCTTTAAATAAAAAAAAACAGTCTCTTGTTCTAAGATTACTCTGTCCAAGTACTTGTGTGTTCATTAAAATAATCAAGGGC